TGCGTCTGGGGTGCAGTGAGGACCAAACACACACACATAAAAAACCCCAAACTCACTGCTCTAGTCAAGATCAACTCACAACGACCTCATAGGACAGGGCAGAAAGGATCCTGTGTGTTTCTGAGATGGTAACCCTTCATGGGGGCAGACAGCACGGTCTCTCTCCTGAGGAGGGGGCGGTGAGAACCAGCTACTGGTGGGTTGAGGAAGCAGGTGGGAAAGAGCTACGTTCTGGGAAGGGCCCGGGGGCCGTCCCCCACTCGCCTATGTTTACCTGGCTCAGTCTCCCCCTGAATCTTCACATTGGAAATTCTCACTGCTGTAACGGTCGTTCGGGTGGAAGCCCTTCCCAGTGTGTGCCATTTGGTCAGAAGATCTGTGCTCTGTGCTCATCCTGGTGCTGTGTCCATGTCCACCCATAAAGGCTGCCTCTGAGCCGCAAGCTGGCCTCTGAGCCGCGAGCTGGCCCGCAGTGGGGCCCAGCCCGATTTGTGGCTCCAACAGTGAAGGGAGACACAGTGAGGGGAGGGGGAGGGGGACCCAGATCAATGAATAATCGCTCCCTTTTCCTTTTAGGGTGAATAATTTATGCTGCCATTGGGCACACGTTGCATTGATCAAGAAAGAAGGAACGTCAACTCTTCTGGGGTGGTGTGGGGGTTTCCAAGCCCCCGCCCCCACCTCTGCATACAGCATGCACCACTGGTTGGTGAAGAAGCCATGGCCTTGAAGTTTGGAGGGGGGGGGTTCCTCCAACCTGTCAGTGCCTGGGATACCGTGCTGGCTCTCACACAGGCCCCAATGCTTTCTGCCTGGAGTTGACCCTTCCTGGGCCCCTATCTTATTCTCCAGAGCAGAGGGCAGCCAGCTTTCTCTGTCAGAGAGGATGTGCCTTGGCACCATGGGTCCTAAAGGCAGGACTGGTACCTGGTCGGGGGCTCAGTGCAAAGTGGAAATGCAGGTCCCTTCATGATCTATGTTAAAAAGACTGTCAGGATGGTGACAACAGAAGGTCAAACCAAGCTCTGAGACCCTTCTGAGTGCAGTGTGATGGCTACAGGGACCATGTGTGTGTGTGGGTGGTGTGGGTTGGGGGGTCTCAATTCTTCCCATTGTCAACAAATGAGCATGACTGCCTGCCAGTGAAAATGTATTGACAAAAACAGGCAACAGGCTCCATTTTGTCTGTGGCCAGGAATTTGACAATTGTAAGTTCTTTGAAGGTAGGGTGTCCTCCATCGATCGATTCATCCATCTTCCCCTCC